TGTTTGCCTTCTGGGTTTCTGCGCACATGCACATGCAATGATCACCTGTCCTTTGCATGCATTGCAGTGCTGAAAACCAGTGTGCGCATGTGTGCTGGCCAGCTGATTGTCAGGAGCGCATCCACACAGAACCAGGAAGTTTGGCTTTTCTGGAGTACGGCCCTTACAAGCGCACTCACACATGCACGACGTTTCTGCATGACCTTTTCGGTAGTCAGTGCTGAAAATCTTCACCATCACTGCTCTATAACATCGTTACAACAACATTCAGTTTTGGTCACCACGATGTAGAAAAGATGTGGAGACTCTAGAAAGAGTGCTGAGAAAAGCAACAAAGATGATTAGGGGACTGGAGACTAAAACATATAAGGAACGGTTGCAGGAACTGGGTATGTCTAGTTTAATGAAAAGAAGGACTAGGGGAGACATGATAGCAGTGTTCCAATATCTCAGGGGTTGCCACAAAGAAGAAGAGGGAGCCAAACTATTCTCCAAGGCACCTGAGGGTAGAACAAGAAGCAATGGGTGGAAACTAATCAAGGAGAGAAGCAACTTAGAACTAAGGAGAAATTTCCTGACAGTTAGAACAATTAATCAGTGGAAGAGCTTGCCTCCAGAAGTTGTGAATGCCCCAAACTGGAAGTCTTTAAGATGATGTTGGATAGCCATTTGTCTGAAACGTTATAGGGTTTCCTGCCTAGGCAGGGGGTTGGACTACAAGACTTCCAAGGTCTCTTCCAACTCTGCTATTGTATTGTATTGTATTATTGTATCATTTTGATGGTAGAAGTTGAAACAATTTGTGTCCAGGATGTGAGGGGTCTGTAGATATTTTTTTAACCACCTGCTAACTTTTCCTTCTCTTCTCTGCACTCTTTCCAATCAGTCAGCATCCTTTTTCTAGTATAGCGACCAAAGCCAGGCACAAAATTCCAAGTACGATCTGACCTAGGCAGCCGACAGTGGAATGATCACTTCTTATGATCTCAGCACTGTTCCTTTGTTGATCGCCCTTTCTTTTGGCAGCTGCAACATGGTGCTGGCTGGTATTCAATCTGTGGGCTTCTCAGACACCCACTTAATCTGCTAATGTAGCCACTGTCAAAACAGCAGTGAGATCTGGGTGGCGTGACCTATTTCAAACAAACTTGTAGGGCTGATGATAGAACAAGTGTGCATCCCTATCAAAATGGCCGGCAACATTGAAGTCATCAAATCCTACCTTTTTAACATAGATCGTACACTTTGCACACACGCAATAGAAGCAGGATTTCATTGAGCCATTTACACCTGCCATTTTGATGCCTTTTGTTTTGGTCTCCTGCAGATGCCCCTGATTATAAGGCTACTGAGACACAGATCAGAGGGCAGGGACTATATGCCATGCTTTTTTCAAGGACTGTTCTAATGGTGACTATCCCCTGAAATGGCTTTAAATATCCAAGGATAGCCAGGCCTGTATTACATTGCACTCAGTTGCAGCTGAAAATTAATATCCCTGACGTATGGAGTCAGACTTTGCAAACTTTCAGTTTTGCCCTACAAGTGACTTTCTTTTTAAACTTTGTTCACTTTTAGTTATCCATGCTGCCTCAGGGATTTAAAATTCTCTACATCAGGAACTGGGAGTAGAAAAGCTGCTTTTGGGTTTCGGACTCACTTCTGTCTATGGAGATTCCAAAAGTGCTTTTTCAAGACACAACTGGATTTTTTTTTTTTTTTTGAAGACGTTTTACTTCTCATCCAAGAAGCTTCTTCAGTTCTGAACTGAACTCATTGATTTCTAATTGCTCATTTTCCAAGGAAGACAATGTAGCCAACTGGGCACTATCTTCATCAATCAATATAACACACAAACTTCTTTATTCCTTTCATTTTTGCAGCGAACTGCAAAATGAAATAATTGATTGAACGAATGGGCAGAATTCATTCATTTTATCTTCGTCATTTTAAATATTAGAAGTTTCCATGTTAATTTGTGTTTCTGTATATTGTAGACTTATTTTATTTTATTGGAATTGGTTACATTGCTACCTATCCTGGGATTTGCTTCTCCTAGTGCATTTCCTTCTGAAAAAGTTCAAGAATTATAGCTAACTTATATAACATGATAACACGCCAGATTATTATCTGATGTGCATTTTGCAAACCATTTCACACCAATCTTGCCATAGTTGATTTGGTTCTAGTTTGCTTCAAAGCTCAATTCAGAACTTGCTTATTTTCAAACACTGGAAGAGCTTGAAGATTTGTCTCAAGAATTGTTTCTTTCCTCCTGAGAATGTTGCATTCCTTAGCAAATGTTATATGTAGTAGTCCACCTATGTGCTAAATTGCAGCTAGCAGTGGAGCCTGATTATAGAATTTTTTGACCTGTTTTTTAAAATACTTTTTAAGGCAGTCTTATTTCACGGAGCTTCTGGTACTTAAAGCTGTGCTCAGTTTAATTGTAAGATCCAATCTGGGATGGGCACTGACCAGAGGTTTAGTTTTCCGAGCTTTCGGACTCATGCTGGAGTCCATTTTCAGGGAACTTGTTGTTAGCAGAGTCCTAGAGGGAAGTTGCCAGAGGATGGATTCCAGCACAAGTCTAAAAGCTAAAAAGACTAAACCTCTGGTCTCAGTGCCTGACCCAGATTGGATCCTGCAAATATTATTCTGAAACACATATACCGTATTTGCCTTCATTTGAATTGGATTGTAATTGAAGCTTTAATCTCTGCCTTGTGTTACATTTCCTTTTAATTTTGCTGCACATCCATGCAAGCATAGAGTGGAATTTATAAAATGTCAAGTAAACAAATAAAGTATCTTAAATAATAAATGAAAATAAATATGTGATGAAACATAAAAAATTTCCTGGAAAACATTCCACATTTTACAGATTTCTTCTATTATCAGCTTGGTTAGAAACCTTTACGTTATTAAGGAGTTAAGGGCTGATGGAACATTAATTTAAGGAGCAAATATTCCTATACGCTGCTAATGTCATTATTAAATTATTTGCATCCCTACATATTATTACCGGTGATCATATTGTGTTTATTTTAACAAGCGAATGCCTCATTATATGAAAGCCATTTTATTTCTATGGAAAGCCTTTTCTCACATGCCTCAGTGAATATAACTGAATTTTTTTCTGGAAGGCAAGGCAAGAAACACTTTACTAATTAACATACTTAATCTTCACACATAGTTAATAGTTTTCTGCCATGTCTAATCAGAACAGAAAGTGGGTTTTATGATTACAGAGAAGGAAATGTCATTCTGTGTGTTTTCAAACACTAAACAAAAACAAATTGTAACAATCCAGGCATTATCTAGAATTGTCTCCTTTCTGTTTCAAGTAAATTTCAAAATGTTTTAAATCCTCTCCTCCCCTATCTTCAGGAGAGGGGAAGTTTGTCAATGGTTAATAAGAAAACCTGTAATATATATACCCACTTCATTTATTATTTCAGATGTTAATATAGTGAAGCAAAAGAACTAAACTGGTAGTGGGGGTGGGGAGATAAATGAATTACTAATGCACTGCTTTTCAACCTTGGCAATTTTAAGGCATCTGGACTTCAATCCCCAGAATTCCTCTGCCAGCATGCTGGCTGGGGTTTCTGGGAGTTGCGGTTTACACACTTGTAAGTTGTCAAGGTTGAGAAATATGATGCTAATGTCATCTTCAAAGACGTTTGTTTCAACTTCCCAGTTTACAGCTCTTCAGCCACCCGTTGTCTTCCTACTCAAGGACTTATTTGATCCAGCCAAGTACTCAGCTTTTTCAATAATAACCAGTCAACTTGACGAATAGGAAAATGCCCAATTCAAGTCTCCTCGCTCATGCAGTCACCAAGTAGGCTTAAGGGTATCCCTGGAGAGATTCCTCCTGCATTTTTTTTTAATGATTGAACACCTAAGCTTTAACACATCTAAGGCTGCAATCCTATGCCTCATTTTCCAGAATTATTAAACTCAGTTTCTTATTTATGAACTGGGACACATGGAATTGTACTGTGATCAGTACAACTGCTAACCACGTTAATTTTGTTTTATAGCAAATTCTTGTAAACTAGATGGGCCATGGTGGTTTAATGGTTAGAATGCAGTATTGCAGGCTGACTCTGTCCTCTTCCAGTTCGATCCTGACAAATTGAAGGTTGACTCAGCCTTCCTTTCTTTCAAGGTTGATAATATGAGGACCTAGACTGTTGGGAGGCAATATGCTGACTCTGTAAACTGCTTAGAGAGTTCTGTAAAGTCCTATGAAGCAGTATATAGGTCTATTGCTATTAAGGTTGCTGCTTTCAGTGCTCTCTTCAAATGCAGTGTTGAAATCAAGGAAACATTTGGAATTAGATAATTATGTTTCAGATATGTTGGACTATAAATTCAAGAATTAACTACAAATTCAATGTAAGAGGGAGGCTTGGAGAAAGACAGTCTAAACTAGGGGTCGGCAACTTTAAACACTCAAAGAGCCATTTGGACCCATTTCCCACAGAAAAGAAAACACCAGGAGCCACAAAACCCTTCCCGTGCCTATTTGCTGAGCGGCTACAAAACTAGCATATGTAGTTGAATTAAACATTCTGTTTTCTTCTGAAACTCTTCTTTTCTTGGATTTATCCATGGTTGGCCTAACAGGGGTTGAAAAGCTCAATAAATTGCATGCTGGCGAGTGTTGCACATTGGCGGTTATGACACATATTTTGAGTGACAGGGAGCCACAGCAGAGGGATGAAAGAACCACATGCAGCTCGAGCTGTGGGTTGCTGACCCCTGCTCTAAACATACAGTCTTCACCTTTACATCTTGTGTGATATGATAGTTCACATCAGGATCTAATAATCTGCTTATTCCTGATATTGTCCAAATGTTAATAATGTGCTATAACTGTGTGTAGGAAACTAAGAATGTATGCCTGCTTATATAACAAAAGATCACTGCTAAGCAAGCCTAGGAAATATGGTATAAAATAAGGCTGAAGTAACAGGAGAAACACTAGGTAACCTTTCAAAGCAAACAATTTAATAGGCACTGAGGAACTGATTGCAACAAGCATTAATATCAACAATAAAAAGTGTATCTTAAAATATATTTGAAACTGAAGCCAACCAAGGATCCTAGAAACATGCTGGATAACTCAAGGAAAGTAACAGCTCAGTGTGTTATAGCTGTAAAAAAAACTGAATTTCATGCAAGGAGTTATTAGATAAGGAATAAACACAAACTGCCAATATATTAATGGAGTTATATAAATATGTGGTACAAAATCAGATGGGAAATTATTTCACAAAGGCTATTGTAAAATTGAAAAATATACTGCAATAGAAGTAAACATAATTAGGGGATTGCAATAACTACTAAAGAACATAGTTATTTGGAAAGTTTGGAAGGTTTAATATTTGGAACTTCTTGATTCGGAGTGAAGAAAAGAAGGGAAAGAAACCTTTTTATTGTAAAAAAACCCCTTATTCTCCTTTCTTGTATTAGAATGTGAGGTTATTAAAGTAAAATATGGGAAAAATATGGGGTCAATATTTTTTTCTCAGTAAAACACATAGATACTTTATTAATTCACTGCCATCCTGTATGATGATGGCCATGAATTTAAATAGCCATCTAGCGGACGAACCTATGGAATTAGACAGATTTAAGGAAAATTTGATTATTAGTGTTTACTAAGTGGATATTTTGATGGCTGCATCTAACTACTAGAATCAATGGCAGTATGACTTAATATTCATTCTTACAGTGTACATGGCTGAGTGGATTATTACCTTTACATCCCACTTTAAACTTCTAGTTTGCATCTGGTTGACACAACTAAATGCTACACTACATAGGTCTTTGGCCTGATCCACAAGGAAATTTCATGTTGGCTAAATTTCATTCCCAAAGTGTGCATAGGTCTGAGGGATGTTTGTATAAGGAGCAATAATGAATTTCCAATGAAAGTGGAAAAATACAGTAAAGCCAAGGAAAGTAATCTGAGAAAGGTTAATACTATAAAAAAGGAGAACAGTTATTTCCTGTATCCATTTCACAAAGTAGTTGAGAGTGTTATTTGTTCTCATTTAGGTTCTGTAAACATTCTAATTGTGATAATAAAAGTTGCTTTTTTATTGCAAGAGATAAACATTTGTCAATAGAGACTGCATGTCAGACTGTGTGTGACACCAATGATTAATTTCTTTAATGATCCATCTAAATGAAGTCAGGCTCTAATGAAAGGAATACAAGAAACCTGACAACAGTAAGAGAATTGAAGTTAGTAGCAATCTAAATAGTACAGCAAAACCACAAAAGTAAGAATTGCATTGGTTAAAAACATTAAGCCATTCCTAATTCTGTAGTAGGTATATAAAATCAGACCAGCAATTAATTTTTCACCTTTTCATCCTAATGGCTTCATCAACAAAACCTATTTAAACAACAAATATGCAATTTAAGACACAATGGAAGTCTTATTTAACTTATTGAATGAAGGTCTTGAGATAACATGCATTAAAAATTAGAGGTGAAAGTGTAATACACTTTTTAAAAAAAGATTTGGAAGTTAAAATGTACGGGAGGTTCTTGGAGTGGATAAAGAAGGCTTCTTAATAGGCCACATTTTTGTAGGGATTTTAATCCATGAATTTTTAAAAATGTAGAACATGCAGCTTTTAAATACATATGTGTATGTAGAACTGTGGAGGTTTATTATTCTCCCATTTCACTAGTGGGAATGCTCAGCAAACTCTAGTTTCAGTAACTATAAAGATGCAGCAATTGAAACCCACACAATGGTTCACCAATTAGCTGCTTGCATACCAGTAGCTACACGTAGTACGTAAAAACGAACCCTTTCTGAAAATAAAAATCCACTTGCATGCAGTTTACTATCTCTTGGTAGTTTATGACTTAAAACCCTATTGTTTTGCTTCCCAAATAGTAAAATGTAGCTGTCACAAACAAATGCTTAATGAGCAATAATAAAAATGTCAGGCTATGTGAGAAGGCATATAGTTTTTTACAGGTAGTCCTCAACTTACAACTACAACCGAGTCCAAAATTTCTATTGCTATGTGAGGCTTCCACAATACATCAAAACTGGTAATAAATTGACTTGGTAACTTGATTCATACATCAGTGATGGTGAAGCTTTTGGGCTTGGCGTGTCAAAAATTTTGAAAATGCGTAACTTTACTTTGCTAGCATGTCACACATTTCTCCATACAACAAGAAATTCTTTACATATTCATTTATTTTTTAAAGAAACAGGTCAATCACATTTGTGATCCCCAGGAGTACCGCATGCCACTTACCTTCAGACAATCTTCTCTTTCTGCTGACAGGCCCCTCCAGACTATCCAAGACAGCCTCAAGTTATACAAGGCCTTCGTTCCTGCAGCAGAAAGCTTCTTTCTGATGTAATTTTTGAATGCTCCAGAGGCCATGTGAGAGCATACCCCATTTTTGCCTGGCCTTTGCAGTCTCCAAAAATCATTTCAGAATGGCCTGTGATTTAGAGAATTGCTTCTGGGTGTTGGTGGACACTGGCATGTTACCCAAAATGTCTTGATGTGACACCTATGACTCATGTGTCTGAGGTTCACCATCACTGTCCAAGATTCTGCCAATGTCTCCAGAATAGGCAGAACGTTGGCAAATCCTGAACCTAAGAGAAGTATTCATAATGTCCTTTCCTTTGTGGATATCCAGGTAAGCTACAATCATTAGTCAAGATGTACACTAGTCAACAGTTCTGTTTGGAGGATTTGGTCACTCACCCTTAAATTGAGTTTTGAAGACCTAGAATGTTTTATAAACATTTCTGAATGAAGCTGTCTCCTGGCTTCACTGGTACACATAAGGCAAATGTAAATTAAATTCTCTTACAGAAAAAGACAGGAAGAAAACCCCAACTATATTGCTCTTCGTTTATCTTTTAGTATCAATGTGACTTTAATTTATTTATTTACTTCCTTATGGGTTTAGTTCATCCACCATACTTGGGACAAGCATTTTGGATTGGTTAGAAGGCTGAAATAGATGATCATATGAGGTTGGATTCTTTTTTTCATTGCAATTCTATCACCTGCTGTCTGTCCATCTTGTCTTCCTCATCATCTGAATAATGTTCATCATAGAGGCTAAAAAATAAAGAAGAAATTATAATTTTTCTAAATAGGTGAATATCTAATCAGAACTGCAGAAAAAACAATTACTGCCAACCTGCCTTCCATTGAGGACCTGTACACTGCATGAGTCAAAAAGAGGGCCGTGAAGATATTTACAGATTCCTCGCATCCTGGATATAAATTGTTTCAACTCCTACCCTCAAAACGACGCTATAGAACACTGCAGACCAAGACAACTGCACACAAGAACATTTTTTTCCAAATGCCATCACTCTGCTAAACAATAAGTTACAGTGCTGCAGTCATTAGTGGGGGGAGATGGGTGATAGGGTGTGCCCAGTACAGTTTTCTTTGCATTTACATCATCTAAAGTATGCAAAATAAAATCTGGTGAAGCTTTCAATATTTTTTTGAACATAGTTCTCTGGATTTATGAAATGACAACTGAGCGGTTCAGCCACAACCACCCAAGATATGGGAAAAAGAGATTACAGCATTTGAAGAAAAAAATAATATTGTTTGTCATTCAGTATAGGTTAGCTCTGTTGTAATGGTAGTGGCAATGTCATTGACAGGTAGGAGTTGCAGCAGAGCTGCAACAGCATTTGAAGAGCAGATTAGACAACAGTTCGATTAGAGGCAGCTTAGGCCACAGCAGCAATAGAGGTCTAACAAACATCTCAGAAGGGACCCTCCTTAAGTTTCTTGGAACATTAAAGGTGAAGAGGGACAGATGTACAATAAATATAGTATTAGTACTCATGGTTGGTTCTTCTTGCCTGGACTACTTCTAAAGGTTCAGAGTTATAATTTGGGTTTGTGTAGTAGCCAGTGGGACAGGAAATATTCCCAAAGACTACCACTCACTCTTAAAATAGTCCCAGGCCTTATTTTATTCAGTATAAAATGTAATACGCCAACCTTGCTGTATAGGAAAGCTTCTCCAATTCTCTTGATTTAGGTTCTGAACTTTTGTTCATAGATCTTGCTCCAATGGCCTGACTATATATCATCACTGACCTCTCTACTATTTTCCATTAAAAAAAAATTAACTAAATTGAACTTTAAATGACATTTATAAAACCTGTAACAGTTTTTGGCAGGAATATTAAACAATATCATTCAGCCACTGGAAAAATCAAATCTGAAGAAATAGAATTTTTAAGGGTTTTTTTTTAATTTTGAGGCAATGAACAAAGAACTAATAAGTTTAAGAGAGCTGTTGGGTCTTCTGAAAGTTATGGGGTGTTATTACTATGCAAATAGGCAGTAGAAGCAGCTTCGGGCTTTCATGCAGATGTAAGACTGGGCTTAAAACCATAAGAAACTCTGATGAGATCCTGGTGGAAGTGGTTAAACTAGATAACATAGTTAGGGAGTAAGAGAAAAAAATGAAAAAAATCCTTGCACACTCCTTACTTGAGGAAAGATTCTATTATTACTAGAAACAGAAAGTCTAATGCTTTCAACCCACATATAATTAAACATTTTTCAAATAAGCTAATAATTGGCAAGCAAATCATATTAGCAAATAATTAGGAAAAACACATTAAGCTACATGAAGGCACCATTCTTCTAACAATCACAAAGATCTGCATTGTTTACAGAAAATTATTCAAAGAACTGTAAGAAATATTTTATGTAAGAAAACTGCCTTTACTCACAAAGCAAGGGATACTGAGATGTACAGAGAAGTGCTTAATAAAAGTCAGGATTAACTAACCTTACAGCATCACCTTGACTACAGTCTTTTAATTCATGGTTGTTATGCAAATCCCGATATGTGATTTTTGAATGTCTATTGAAGTCTCCACAGTTTAAACTATTTAGATTTTCCCAGGAATCTGAAATGTTCGATATATAAATATATATTTAAATTACAGGCAATTGAAATTCTTAGGTGTATGAAATATTTACATCTCTGACAAAGTTTATCTTATGTACAAAATATATTACACATTTTGAAAAAAAGAAGAAAATACTTGTTCAAAATATTGCTCAAAACTCTTCAGTGTAACATGGATATGTACTTATTTAATTGACTCTGCTATCACCTTATGCAATTATCACAGCGTGCCAGGTCAGGACTACAATGCTCTACAGGAAGCAATAGCATTAATAAGTAAAAGAAAACATATCATATCACACATGGTTTCTACTAAAGGATTCAATACATCTTACATTATCGCAATCTGCTACATTAATTAACAGAGAAGTTAATAAAGTTTGAAAAGTTGCTGTGCTATTGGTAGGGGTTGCATATTCTGAAGGCTGTTAGAGATGCATCCCCAACTCCCCAAATTCCCAAGATGTCTTTTGATTTAGACCAGGGTTGGCAACCTTCAACACTCAAAGAGCCACAAAGGTCCTCACCGAAACCCCTTGTTCAATTCTAGAGCCAACCAGAAGTCCCCCCACCACAGAGTCTCCTCCTAGTGCAGCATCCTTTTCCCTCTACCTGCCCCTTATCGAAAGTCCTATCATTTGTGGAGCCGACTGGTGACAGGGAGCCGCAGAAGAGGGATAAAAGAGCCACATGTGGCTCCAGAGCCGTAGTTTGCTGACCCCTGATTTAGACATTGACAATGTTCAATTCTAGAGCCAACCGGAAGTCCCCCCACCACAGAGTCTCCTCCTAGTGCAGCATCCTTTTCACTATACCTGCCCCTTATCGAAAGTCCTATCATTTGTGGAGCCGACTGGTGACAGGAAGCCGCAGAAGAGGGATAAAAGAGCCACATGTGGCTCCAGAGCCGTAGTTTGCTGACACCTGATTTAGACATTGACAATGTTGTGGACAAATGAATTGCTCAAAACATCTTTTTTTAGAGTTTTTCAACTGTACTGAAAAATTATAATCTAAATTATGTGCTTGTAACATCTACTGTTACAGAGCCTGGTCACCTAGCAGTTAAGATGCTGGGTTTGTCGACCAGAACATTGGCAGCTTGAGACCCAAGTACCACATGATGGGGTGAGCTCACATTTTCTTCCCAGCTCCTGACAACCTAGAAATTCAAAAGCATGCCAATGCAAATCGATAAAAGGTGCCAATTTGGTGGGAAGGTAATAGCATTTCATGAACCTCAACAGATAGACATGCCAGCAACATGACCACGGAACCATCTTCAGACAATACTGGCTTCCTCTGCTAGAAAACAGAGATCAGCACCATTCTCTAGAGTCAGACATGACCGGACAGGGGAAACTTTCCCTTTTACTTTTTTAACATCTACTATAGTTTGACTTCTTAATAAATAAACAGAATTTCTGTTTGCTGAAAGCAATTCATACAGCAGAGAGGAACCAAAAGCTAGTTTACTAATCAATGAATTATTTATTTATGCCTATTATGTAAATTTATCTCTTTGCTTGCTAATCCATCCCTCCTCACTTCTTTCTAATTCAATTCATTTCATTAAACTCAAACTTTGCTTTCTGCTCCCTGCTCCTCTAAACCTTTGACAACCAGCCTTCCCATAGATTATTTCTTTTGCTCTTCAATATACTTATTCCATTCAGATAGCTTGGGTTCTATATCCTAGTCCTCCTGTGTGATAGGAAATGAGATTCACCATATGACCGTCTGACCCATTAAAAATATCTACTATGTTAGCCAATCCTTCTATACCCAAACGTCCATCAATGGCTTTCCAATCCAACATTTTTCCTTTAAAGTCACTTTCTTCTTTTTAAAACAACAACAACAACAACAAAAGAAAATGATCCCTAGGATAAATTCATTCAAACTGAACTATAATTTGATCAATAAGGCTTTGGATTTACATCCAAAGGAATGTTCCAAGTATTAGAAACAGATACTGCAGAAGAATGATATACTTTGACTACTTATTTACATCTTCCATTCTTTAGCCAATAATAGGGCAAAATAAATAAAACTGCAAATGTTTCCATTCCTGGCCATTTCATTGTGAGTAATCCAAAAATTTAGAAGAAGTAACATACAAATATGTGCAAAAAATACACACCTTACAAGGATACTTAAGCTATCAAAATTACATTGTTTTGCCAAGCAATTTTGATGAACTGGCACAATTACCTGAAATACTCTTTAATTCGTGGTCTAAATCTGTTAGAGTTTGTTGACTGGTATAATACTCTAAAGAAGGATCATCATTCTCAGTGACATCAATGCCTGAGATTTCTGAAATTTCAAAAGCAGCTTGAGATAAAGGTTTTGCATTTAAATGTTTGGATCCTGCCTCAATGACTGAAGATGGGCGAGGAGGGTGTTTAACAATTTTGCAAAGGGGAATATTTGCAGAAACAGGTCTTGAGGAAGCATTACCTGAAACAAAAAAAAGAGGAATATATCTGTTTTGTGCACTGCATTGAGAGAACTATTATGTATCATATTGTGGATCATGATTGTTTAAGACAGTGTTTCACAAACTTGGCAGCTTGAAGAAGTGTAGAAGTTAGAGTCCACACACATCTTCAAGGAGACAAGTACTGGTTTAAAGTAACAATAAACATAGTGGAAAATTATGATTTCTTATTGTATGATATTTTTCCTTCCAGGATAATATTTCAACTATAATTGATATTAGAAAATGTATATGGGACATGATTGTTGTAACGTGGATTGTATGCTTCCCCCCGCCCCCGGGATAGGATAGTTTATTCCTTCTTTTATTTTCCAGTCTCTCCTCCATAGTAGTCAATCTGAATTATGCAGTTATTAATCTATTTTTTGAGCAATTTTGGTTATATTGTATTTCTGCAAACCTGTGAGTCTGCTAATATTATCCGTCATCTTTCTAAATGGGAGCTTCTGTCTGCATGAAGATCAAAACCTTGAGAATGGGTTTGCTATTAGTATACATTCTTTTATCATTTCATAAGTCCTGAATAACAAAGAATGAAAAATATTGCTTCTTCTCCCCTGATGCACAAATGAACTACTTGCTTATATAGTAAGCCAGACAAATAAAGCATTCATTAAACCGTAGCTCTATACATGCTACATCAAGCAGAAGGCCAGAAAGGGGAATGAGTATGCAGAAATGCAATTATGGAGATTACTATTAGAGGAATTTTTTTTAAAAAAAGAATGCAGCAGCAGTTCTATTACCAACAAAATAGTTTTTTGGAAAATGATATATATGACTGTCCATCATAGACACAGTACATTAAAAACCTCAACTGCTGACTTTAATTCTTCACACTATATCTAACATCAGTCAATGAGTAAAACACGTAATAATGTTCAATGAATTGAAATACTGCGACTGATTTTCATTTGCTGGTTACAGTGTTGGAAAGGAATTATGGAGGGAGGTTAAATGTCTGCTGTCAGTGCCCAATTAGTTTTGGAAAGCACTCACCAATGGATAAGTTTGGCTGAGAAAGTCGAGTACGTGGAGTTTGCCTTCCCAGTCTACTTAATGGTCTACCAAGCTCACTGTTCATTATTTCTTGTACTACACATTCATCAGCACATTCCCCTAGACTCAAGTGCCTTGTCCACTGATCAGGTCCTGAAGATGAAAAAATAAGTCCAATTCAGACAATCAGACATTTTACATTTAAAAAAAATATACTGGTCAACAGTCATTGTTTTAAATGCATGCACCATTAAGTAACTACTTAAATCTTTCTAAAGCCCTTTCTCAGAGCTTGAACACCATACTAAAAGAATTCTGTCTCTCTTTCTTCATCTAGTATTTTCATTAGCAACCTGACTTGGAGAAAATAAGCAGGTGGAGATTTTTCAGTTTCTTACTTCCTACCCAACTGCTGGTAAAAGCATGCAAGCAGTAAATCTGTAGTCTATTCTGTGAGAAAGCAAAGATGGGAAACTTATGTACCAAACAACGGGGGGGGGGGAATGGTTAGAAGATCAAGCTTGCATTAATTAAATCATTCATCTAGATCTCCAAGTTGATTAATTGGTAGCAGCCAGTTTGAATTGGTAAGGGCCAATTTTAATGAAACAACCTATTAAAGGCAACGTCTTGATTCAGGCTCATTTTCTTTCTGTAATAAACACTGGAAAAAGGAAAAGTGAAAGGCGTCATAGGCTTATTAAATTAAATACAGACTTACATCCATCAATTTGTCTAAAAAGCTATAATGAGCTGTTGCTAATATAGAGATCTCATTAAAAATAATCAATGTATAGCTATATTACATAGTAAAAATAGGCAGATAAAATAAAAGTTCTCATCAGCTCATAGCCACAAAATAAAGTGAATGCAAATATTTACATCATTACTTTCTATTTAGCATAGTTAGTAAGAGAAAAATCCAAGCAGACTTATTCAGAATTCAAACCCATGATTTGAATTTCTCTCTGCGGATTTGTTTTATTTTCTTTTGCAACCATTGGACATTTCATTTTGAAGTTAGGCAGCTTTCAATAGGGCATTAGTACATGGAATTACAACAAGAAGCAAGGACAGAGAGAGTTAAGGAAAAGCCTTTATGGATTCATATGCTACTCTATTTACTTTGGCCTGAAGTGGGGAACTATTAGGGCAATAAGTAACATAGATAGATAAGCTTTCCATATGAAAGGTAAACTTGCTTCTGTTCAGACTTTCACATGTGCTGTTAAAATGTCCATTGTACACCCAATCATGTTTAATCATGTTTAATTCAATTGTTAATAATTGTAATTGCCATTGCAACCAGGGGGCTGTCTTCTCTTTGGTGGTAACTATTTTTCAGAAACCTCTAAAAATTCTTATAGATAGCTATAGATATATTTAGGATATGTCCTAAATATGACAATAAAATGGAGTTGCTAAGTGGTTGAATATGATAATGGAAAGATAGCTAAATAAAGGTTAAAATATATGGAATACGGATAAATATGAAACTGATATGGGGAGGTTGTAAAGCAGAGGTTTGTGATTCACTTTTATACATGATAATTAAACTGAGTTGTGAATTGATTGACTATGACAATAGAAGAACAACTAAGCATGGGTTAAACTTTTAAGATGATGAATAAAGTGAGATGTTTACCACTTGTTATACTATATAATAGATTAAGGGAATTGTAATGAACATTGAACAGCGAGGATTGCCATTTATAGACAATTAAGGGTAATCTAATCCAAGATATGAAAAATGGAGAGGGAACATGAAATATACCTACAATGGGAAACTATTGAGATTTAAACACAGAATCACAAATTGGGGGCATGAAGGATGTATAATTATACAAAGATAATGATGAGAATAGCTCATCAGGTCTATATCTCAGCCAAAATTAGGTTGGAGGGGTGGTTTCAAAAGCACAATGACTATATATGTATACTTCTTTGTTCTATTTTTCTTAAAAAAGGAGGAGAATACATGTTAAAATTAAATATGTACATTGAAAAGGAATTATAAATACCAACAACATAAAACGGAGCTTGCTCAGAAGCTGAAATACACCAAGTAAATGAGATGAAGAGTGGGAAGTAGAGGAGAGAGGTAAGGGAAGAAGAGAGGAATAGGAGAGAGGGCAAGGGGGGAAGAGGAGGAGACAAATGAGGAGTGGAAAGGGGAGCGGAGAAGGAAAGAGGAAGGGGAAGTAGAGAAGGGAAGGGAAGAAAGGAGGTAGGGAGGGGAGGGGAGAGGGAGAAGAAAGTGATGGATAAGGTACAAATATGGTGTATGGAGAGCAGAAGAGCCAATAATTGTTTTGGGGAGTTGATGGTAAGACGAATTGATGTAAACATTTAATAATACAATATGATGTTGGCTATGTAATAGTATACATCTGATTATATGTTATGAAAATGAAAAAATAAATAAAAATCTTTATTTAAAAAAGATAGCTATAGACATTAGAAAATACCTGGATCCTCCATCTTATTATTAAATGTTAGTTAGCTGCTAATTGCTTTATGATTTTCTTGATTATTTTACACTTATTTTATTATGTGCCTGTCTTTTATTGTGTTTCATCTTAGGTTGAAAATGAATCTTAGTGAAAGCTCCTGAGACTTGAGCTGACACTGTCTTGCTGTCATACTGTGTCACCAACTGGAACCTTTGAAAGACCTTTAATTCATAGCCTTTTCTCTGGACAGATTTGGTGGAAAGTAAGCTTGACCCCAGCTGCAACCCCAAGATGATAAACATTCCAAGGTTAAAACCTGAATGTTCTGGGAAGATGAACTCAAAACATTTACTTTACCAGCCAACAAAAGTAAAATGGAAAAGTATTTTAAGACAATATGTAGCTTTTTCATTAATGACTAGGTTGTTTATTAAGCAAGTGATTTATCTCTACATGATTAATTAAAGGTTTCCTAAAGAGCTCTCTTGATAAAGAGGCAATCAAGTTCCCTCAACCGTAGTTTGAAGAAATAAAAAAAAAAATACTTACATAATATTTTCCACAATAAGTGTAATCTGACATTGCATAGTAGTTACATATAGCATAAGAGAATGCAGTTTTTTTTAAATGGTGCAATATTTCTGTATGTCTTTTAGGTGTAACATTTATACCAATTGAAGCCAAAATTTGCTTGTGCATAATGCTACGGTTCTGACACAGTTCAATTTCAAAATGAAAGAGAAACCACCATGCATTGAAAATGTTCTCAATAAGCAGAAACACCAATAGAGAAACGATTTTATGCATGACTACCTGAAAATGAAATGATGCTCTTTGGAGAATCTCGGGCCTTGTATGATGAAGGAATGGATTCCATCTTAAGCTGCAGACAATTTGAACCCATTGTAAAAAATTCTTCAAGTCCTTGATATGGGTTACAAACAGGTTTCTCTCTTAGGGCCACCTGTGACAACTAAAATAACAATAAAAGAAAACGACAAGAAAAATAACACTAAGTGTTGCCTTTTCATTCTTCCACATGAGCTCATGTATGGAATAATCCATTTAAAACATCTAAAATCCAAAATAACTTGACATAAGCAGAATAATTAGGACTATCATCATTTCTTGCCTCTCCTTAAGATTCCAGGTAAGGAATGAAATTATAGATTGAGTTTTGCTGATATTAGTGGGGGGCGTTGCGGGGGAAGCTACATCCCTTATCAGTGATGGCGAACCTTTTCGGCACTGAGTGCCCAAACTGGAACATGTGTGCACCGGAAATCACCAAAGATCAGCTGTCTGGCATGCACATGCCTGGTTTTTGGCTGGGTTTTGCCATTTTTCAGGGCATTTTCAGGGCATTTTTGAGCAGTTTTCAGGGCGGTTTTTTTGGCCCTGAAAAATGCCCCTGAAAAACAGCCTGAAAATGGCCTGGAAAATTACCCCAAAATGGCCTGGAAAAGGCCCCCAAATCAGCGTGAAAACAGCTCTAAAAATGGCCCCCAAAAGACCCCAAAAACAGCATGCTTTTTGGCTGTTTTTCAGGCTGTTTTCTGGCGCTCCAGTGCCCACAAAGACCAGCTGGCCGGCATGCACGTGCCCACAGAGAGGGCTCTACGTGCCACCTCTGACACAGGTGCCATAGGTTTGCCATCATGGTCCTATACCCAGAGATTTCCCCCAAAGTACGAGGACCTTGCCGAGAAAAGAAAGTAGAATATTAGGAAACTAAGTAAGTATAATGTATTCAGTATGAATATAGTAGTGATATTGCTGTCCTGTCTTGCCTACTCAGAATTAGTTTTCTTACATGGAGTGGAACTTGTTTCTAGATTGCCAAATATTAATCAAATCTTTTTGCAGTCAATTCTTTTTTTATTACACTTTCATTAAGCCCCCATCTCTATATAGAACCAACGTGGTATGCAGGCATGACTATATTTATAGAATTTATTTAATACTATAAACTGAATTAAAATGCTGAAGTTATCCATGTGCATTATTTTAGATTTCTTCATACAGCATGGGAAATGTAAGTGGATTTGCATATACTGAAATTTGCTCGGTTCTATAGGAATAAAATGATGCATAAAATGAAATACCCATTTTTAAAGGCATGCAGAAATGGGATGTCATAGCTACAGTACAGCCGGAAACAACAAATGTAGATGTTGCTGTCCAGCAAACCAAATGGCCTCGTTTGTCAGTGGAAATGCTGGAAGCAAATTTTACATATCCGCACAGGATCAGCAGACAGCTCTACTAATATGGTTTCATTTTTTTAAAAAAATTACATTTAAAGGACGAACATTAAGTAGATGCTTAAGGCTGGTGTTATATTAAATATTTGAAACAGTCAAGCAATACAAATCTTCTTTGAGGCTATTATAAAACAATTAAGGGATACAGCATAAGAAAATTAAGTTTGTTAATATTAAAAACAGCCAGGTGATATCTAATATTTTCTCACAATACCATGAGTTTCAAAAGGGAATGATCAATGCATAAATATATTTAAATGAATGTAACTATTTAGAGCCAAGAATCTTTGATCTATTCTCTAAGCCCATATCCTCCTCAGTACACTCTTATCATTTAAGCTTCCACTGATATTAAAATATTATTAAGAAAAAAAAGCAGAAATTGTTATGGAAAAGTGGTAGCCCAATGAAGGATGGCAGGGTTCAAAAGACAAGAAAAAATAAAGTAAGACATTGATCTAAATAAATTGTATATAAGAGAAAGTATGTATATGTCACATACTTGAGAAACAGTTGTGTGACTAATGTATGAGAAAAATAACTTTATGTGGTAAGGGTGTTCAATTTTTCCTGATCCAAATAAGTTCATTTTACTTTCTAAATAGGTAGTTCTGAATATTCTGAAGGGAAGGGATAATAAAACGGACTCAGGGTGAGTTTTTTAGAAGTGGGGAAAAAAGTCATTTCAAGGTCAGAAAAGTCATTTCAAGGTCAGATGTCCCTTAAGCCAGACATCTAAAGAGTGGCTATGGGAAAGTGTGTTGGTGGCTCTGGATTGGTCTGTGTGACTTTAAGGAAGATTTTTTACAAGAACACCACAATTGTCAACCCAGTAAAGATTCATATATCTGCATCAGCTGCATCTTAATGTTCAAAGAATCATCCTAAACACGACTATGTATTTGCTGAATAAATCACAGAAAGAAAACCATCTGCAGGAGCACCAAAGATCTTTTCAAACTGCCACTGTGCAAACAAGTGGGACACAGGGAGAAAATACATTGGTCTCCCTTTCGCCTCAGCACCAACCAATAATAATATGGAATCTTTTCTTCTCAAAGGGGAAATTGGAAGCATGAATGGCAGCTCCATTCCCATTCCTGACTGCTCAAGATTTCCTACTGTAAAATCTTCACAGAACAACCCTGGAATGTGGTTTCTGTGCATGCCAGGTAAACTGATTTATTTATTTATTTATTGTAGATGCTTTGGGGCCTCTAAAAAAGTTAGTGTGTGGTTGGAAACTATTTCTGTTAGATCGGGTAAAGGAAGGTACACAAAGGCTCCAGTAACAACAGCTCTTTATTGCAAGTCAAGTAAAAATCCGGCTGAAGAATGCTTGGGCAGCATCCCCTTTTAAAGGGATCTGTCAGACCTCTTGACCAATGGGGTTAAACCTCTGTTCCCGCCGGAACAGAGGACCTTGTTGAAAATCTCTGTCAGGGGGGGGGGTTATATCTAACAATTTCCCCTGAAAGAAGCTAAAGGGATAAAGGGCAGGAAATGCTATCAATAATCATGAAGATAGAGACAACATGTATCATAGTAGGCTTGCTTCCCCTCGCATGTAAGAGTTCTTCCGAAATTTGGGATTGTTTTGTTCTCTGTATCCTCTCCTTCCTCCCTCAACTTTATAGATCTTATAGATTCAAGAAATCCACCAACACATAAGGGATTTCAATTTGAGTGACAGCCTGAAAGTACAGTGTACCATACAACCTGAAATTATTCTGACTGGCACTCTAAAATATAGTTCAATAAATAATGAGACAAATCCCTCCCAAGCTAAAACAGCAATAGTAGTAATAATATGTAGTAGTAGTAGCAGTACCAAAGAATATTCTGGAATGACTGGTGAAGAATCATGCATGCCTTGAGACACATTGTTTTCTTTAACTAACTCCATTGCTGGGAAAGATTTGCTGGCATCTAGTTGAGGAGGACTTGGTGTCTGCTCATTTGACATGCAAAAGCTTTTCTTTTTGATTTTACCACTCTCGTCTTTTGTTATTGCTCTTTCAGATAAGGAGTTGGGAGTCATTTCTTCTCTACAGGAACAACTACCAGCAACATCAGCTCTTTCAAACTGTGAAGATGTTCTTGCTAAAGAATTGAGAGGGGAAAAAAGATCTTGTCAGTTTAAATCGGTGCACGTAGCTTTCTCAAATAATTAGCCCTCGAGTTTTATCAGCTCACATGAAACACCAAGGAGCTTTATTCAGAACTGCTTCTCAGACTGATAGACCAAAGGCAGGCTGAAACTGTTGTATTGCTAGCTTCCTGCTGATATTATTTTAGTATTTAAAATTCAAAAGCTTATTAATTAAGGTTAATCAGAGGAGGAAAGCCAAGGGTATTCCCTGTACAATTTTCCATGTTTCATTTATCCCTTGCCACATTTCACCTTGTCCTCTAGCTGTTCTGAATACTAAATTATTATTTTTAAATAGTTTTTATTGAACGTTTTAACCTTTAAAAACAGAAAGAAAAACACAACAAGAAAAAACAAAACACAAAACATACATAACAATATAAAGTAATTATACAGCCTTCTGTATCGGCTTTTATAGTTCTCCATTCTGCATTGCTTTCCTGTTACTTTTATCTTGTCCTATAACATAACAACAGTAGTACTAACACTTATAATAATATTAATTATTTATATCACCATATATTTACATTCTCTATTTTCTGTTTTGGCTTCTGTTTTCTATCCACTTATAAATTCTATTCCATATTTTATAGAAATCCAATTCTTCTCTTTCTTTTAGTTCTATTGTCATTTGTCTATCTCCGCACTTTCAAGTACTTTTCTAATTATTGTTTCATCTGCGGTGTATTGATTTTTTTCCAGTTTTGTGCGAAAGCAATCCTAGCTGCAGTGCGTATGTCTATTATTATGTATTGTTTATCCATTTTTGATCTAATAATCCTAATAAGAATGCTTCTGGTTTCAGTTCTATTTTTTGCTCCATAATTTTTCCAACCATTTCCGAATTTTGCACCAGTATTACCTTGTGATGGGGCACATCCACCACATATGGTAAAATGTTCCAGACTTGTGGCTACATCTCCAACATTTGGGGGATAAATTTGAATATATTTTGGTTAATCTTGCTGGAGGCAAATGCCATCTATAAAACATTTTATAGAGGTTTTCTTTGTAAGCTACTGCTGTCGTAAATTTATAATTTTTTTCCCATAATTTATCCCATTTTTCTAACTCTATATTATGGCCAAAATTTCTTCCCCAGCTAATCATTGTCTCCTTTACCGTCTCTTCCTCCATTTTGTATCATTAAAAGAAAATTATATAATTTGGTAATCATTTTTCCTCCCATTCCTAATAATATTTTATCTAATTCCATTTGTTTCTCGTGTATTCCATATTATTCCCGATCTTTTTTAAATCTTGTTTTAATTTGTAAATAGGGCCACCATTCCATATTTATTCCTTGTGTTTTCAGACCTTGTACTGATTTTAGTTCTTCTTTTTCATCTGAGAGTTCTGCATAGCTTACCATTTTGCTGAGATGTATAGTATTTGGATATATCATTGCCTCCATCGTTGATAACCAGATTGGAATTGTAATGGTTTTTTTTAAAAAAATTTCCCAGACCTTAAACTTACTATGTGTCTCTGGAAGTATGAATGAGATTTATTCTTTCCCTCCCAGAGGAAGCCATGCCAGCCTAGTTAGAGATCATGGCCTTCTAGCATAAAAATCCTTTTATTTTTAAGTTGAATCCAGTTCTTGAGCCATATCAAGGCTGCCGCCTGATAGCAAAGCTCCCAGTCTGGGAGGCCAAAGCCACCTTTGTTTCTACTATCATGTAGAAGTTTGTATTTAATACACGTTATTTCCCCCCTGACCAGATAAATTTGGATACCATTTTATTTAGTTGTTTGAAAAAAAAATTCTTTAATTTAATTGGTATTGTTTGAAAAAGTAGTTTGGTTAGTACATTCATTTTAATTGTTGAAATTCTGCCAATTAGTGATATCTGTCCATATATCCAAATATTTTTGTATTTGTCGTACCAATTTATTGTAGTTATCTTATTATAATACATTTTGTCGACAACCATAATATTTCCAAATATTTAATTTTCTTGGCCCTCAAAATCCCCCATTTCTCCTCCAGTTCTTCATTTTGTCTTTTGGTTAAATTCTTACTTAATATTTTAGTTTTCTCTTTATTTATTTTAAGCTCTTTACCGAATTGGCTTATGTTTTGTAATAATACTAGTCCAGTTTCTAGAGTTCCTCTATGATAAACGCTAGATCGTCTGCAAAGGCCCAAACTTTGTATTCCTGTCTTCTAATTTTCAATCCCTTTATGTCCTGGTTCTGTCTAATTTGTAGCATCAATGTCTCTATTGAGAGAATAAATAACAGGGGGGGATAGAGGGCATCCTTGTCTTACTCCTTTGGTTATGGTGAAACCTTCTGTTGCTTCCCTGTTTAGTATTATTTTTGTCCCATGACTAGAAAATATTGCTCTACTCATCCCAATAAATTTATCTCCAAAGTTCATTACTGCTAATTGATTTATAAGAAAATGTCAATTTAGGTTATCAAATGAGTTTTGTGCATCAATAAATATCAATGCTGCTTGTTTTCCTGAGTGTATCTCGTAGTATTCTAATATGTCCATTATCATTCGTATATATATTTTTTATATGTCTGTTAGGTAGAAATCCATTTTGGTCTGGGTGTATGATTCCGCTTGGTATATTTTTAATTCTTTCCACCATTATTGTCATAAATATTTTATAATCAGCATTTAGCAGTGAGATTGGCCTATAATTTTGGATCTTTTGTTTTTCAGTGTTGTCTTTGGGAATTATTAGCCAGGATTTTGGTGTCTAGCTCGTTCTACTACTTCATTATACATTTCTAATAATATGTTCTCTAATGACTTTCGCAATTCTTTATAGAATTCTGCTGGAATTCCATCCGGACCCAGGGTTTTGTTATTTTTTTTTGTTTTTGGATTGCCTTTTTAAATTCTAGCCTTGTTATTTTCTCATTTAGTGTTTCCTTTGTTGTTTCCGGTAAAGTTAGAAGATTCCTCTTCTGTGGGTATTTTTTAATATCCTCCTCTTCTATTTTCTCTTGGCTATACAGGGTTTGAAAGTATCTTACTGCTATCCTTTCCCCCCCCTTCATTTTGATGATGTATCACCTCTTCTTCATCCTCTAATTGCTGTATTAATTTCTTTTCTTTTTCTTTTTTTAGTTTATAGAGTAGCCATCTCCCCGTTTTGTTAGCAGTTTTGAAATAATTTTGTCTACTTGATCTAATTTTCTGGGCACTTCTTCTTGTGTAATTAAATTTAATCTGTGTTTAATTATTTCTTTTCCTTCTTTAACTTCCTGGTTTTGAGGTTCCTTTTGAATTTCATATTCTAATTTCCCCAGTTTCTCCCGGAGCTCTATATGTAGTTTATTTTTATCTTTGTTTCTTCTTATTGTATATGCTATCATAATGCCACGCACATAGGCTTTGGTTATATCCCAAAGGTTTTGAATGGTTGTCTGTCTGTTTGAGTTTTCTTTTAGGAAAAATGCTCAAAGAACACAGTTCTTTTCTTTCACAACCCCTCTGATTCATGGTCCATCTCTTTTTCCTTTTTGCCTCTCCTTTCCATTTAATTGTTAATGGGTTGTGGTCCACCCACATGTTCGGTGTTATTTCTACTTCCTCTACATCCTTCTCCATTTCCGGGTCCATCCACCCCATGTCAATCCTGGACCATGAATTATGGGGGTTTGAAAAGAATGTGTATTAACTCTTCTGTGGCTTGATTTCTCTCCAGCCATCTTTTAGATTTAATTCACGGGCCATTTCAAAGAATACATTTGGTAGTGTTCTCCTTTCATAATTTTTTTATTATCTGTTTTACAGTGTTTCTTTGGGTCTACCACGCATCCCCTAATAAACATATGTTGTCCAGTTCCAGTTCTGCAATCTGCTTATGTAATTTACTGTAGTATTCTTTCTGGTTCATGTTTGGTGTGTATATGACTACAATTAGTACTCTTTTTTGTTTTATTGATACTTCAATTGATAATGTTCTTCCCTCTTCATCTGTGTATATCTGTTTAGGTTTTAGCCAGTCCTTTATATATACTGCAATTCCTCTTTTCCTTGTTTCTGCCTGTGATTGGAAATGTAGAAGGCATAAAGAATGGCCTTGAAGGATAATGGAACGATCTGCCTCCATGGCAACAATCAGACAAGCCTATTGAGTGAGTCCATTCCAACAAACTAATTTGAGCAAACATTTCAGGTCCCTCCTGTAGGAGAGCGTGTGGCAGAACCTGGAGGGGGTGGGAAGTGAAAAATGGGATCAGCCTAGAATCCCTAGGTAGCCACAAGTGAAATAAGTCCAACCCTATATTAGAATATTCATGACTGGGAGAGGCATGGTAACAAGGTCAGCCAATGAATAGGCATAGCAACTAAGTCAGCCAATGGGAGCTTGAACAGATGAGTCTGTGCTGAGAATTGAAACTGAAACAAGACTGATCTCTGTCTGCTCT